ATCTATCTATCTATCTATCTATCTATCTATCTATCTATCTATCTATCTATCTATCTATCTATCTATCTATCTATCTATCTATCTATCTATCTATCTATCTATCTATCTATCTATCTATCTATCTATCTATCTTTCTATCTATCTATCTATCTATCTATCTATCTATATATCTTTCTGTTTGTTTTTCCTGCAGTCTTACAATAAAGTCATCTTATTTTGAAAAATAAATGTTTTACTGTTTTTGGTCAAATCTGGAAAATAACCTGTTCAGACTAAAATCTAGTTCCATATCTGTAACAATGACTTGTAGTCATTGTTGCCCTCGATAAAGTCTGTTATCTTTGACATCAAAGTGAACTGGGTTGACTTCAGAAGTTAATCAGTTGTAAATCAACATTTACTGATTGATTTTTGAGAGTTTCATGAAAATCAGTCCAGTGGTTTAATAGCTACATGTATATTCTGTTAACAGACTAACAAACGTGCACATAACACAGAAAGACAAAGGCAACTCCTTCATCCTCCGCCTTTCTTGTTTTGGTGGTGGGTGATAGAAATCTACATAAATGTTTTATACCGTGAGAGGAAACAAATCAGACACTCCTCATGCCAGTGTCACTTTCTGATCTTCTAAAGAGTATTTTATTTGAAAACTCATAATAATGGTAGGTTACATGGTTTCACCCCCTCAGGTCCTTTCTGGATGGAGGGCACAAGCAGTGGCTGGGCAGAGGAGCTCACCCCCCCATGTGTGCAGCATGATGACAGTGGGAACGACAGCAGTCCTGTGTTTGAGGTGGCTCTGCAGAACGCCTCCTCCCAGCGCAGCCCTCAGTTTGTGGGTGTTGAGTTGCTGCAGTCCTTCAAGCTGCTCATTATCCCCTGCTACACTCTCGTGGCCCTGGTGGGTGTCTTTGGCAATTATCTGCTCCTCTACGTCATCTGCCGCACCCGCAAGATGCACAACGTCACCAACTTCTTCATCGGTAATCTGGCTTTCTCCGACATGCTGATGTGTGCCACGTGCGTCCCCTTCACTCTGGCCTACGCCTTCAACCCTCATGGCTGGGTCTTTGGACGCTTCATGTGCTACTTGGTGTACCTCATCCAGCCGGTGACGGTTTATGTGTCCGTCTTCACTCTCACTGCCATCGGTGTGGACAGGTAAGTGAACCCCACCCTCTAAGTAACAGGTTTGAAACAGTCTCACAAACAGCTGTAGTCAATTTGTGAATCCAAAATCCATTTTGCTGAATATGTAAAAATGATTTTGAACTGAATCAACCGTAACAAAAGTCCTGAGCTGCACTGTGACATATTTCTTATGAAAGGTAAAGCCTGGGGTGGGGGATAATAAATCTAAAGATGCTTTTCTATGTGCACAGCAGGCTTTCTCATGAAGACTCCATGTCTTCAGTGTTTCATCAGTGACTCCTCACAATGTTCTGCAGCTGAGGAGATGTTCATTAATACCTTCCTTTTGGTTCATTCAGATGTAAATCATTCTCAGTGAAGCATACAGAGAAGTATTATTCATCAGACAATATGTTTCTCTGTTGCCATGCGGCACAAATCCTGCTTTATCTGACCTTGTCTGAAGTGGCAGCGTTGGATAAAATTTCATATTTGTGAGACCAGCATAGTCATTTTTTTTCTGGTTGGAAACTGACAATTTGGCATCGATTGATTTCTCCAGTAATTTTTGAGCGTTTGTAATTTGTGGCTCTTAAGAGCGTACGATAATTTGTGTGCCGATTGCTGATGGCAAGTACTGACTGCAGTTGTTCTCCTTCCTCCCCTGCAGTGACTCATGCATGACATTTTTTTTTTGTCCCTTTCTAGTTGTTTTTCTTTTCTAACTCGTCTGCTCTGCCTCCTCCTAGATATTACGCCACAGTGCACCCACTGAAGAAACGCATCTCCGTCTTGGCGTGCACGTACCTTCTGTCTGGGATCTGGCTCCTGTCCTGTGCTCTGGTGGCTCCGGCTGTGGCTCACACCTACCATGTGGAGTTCAAAAATGAAGGCTTCACCATCTGTGAGGAGTTCTGGATGGGTCAGGAGAGAGAGCGGCTGGCTTATGCCTATAGCACCCTCCTGATCACCTACGTTCTGCCTCTTTCAGCGCTCTGCATCTCTTACCTGTGCATCTCGGTCAAACTGCGGAACTGTGTCGTACCTGGCCACCACACTGAGAGCCAGGCGGAGGCTCAGCGCATGCGCAAACGCAAGACATTTCGGCTCGTGAGCTTGGTGGTGGCAGCTTTCGGCATTTGCTGGATGCCCATCAGCGTGTTCAACGTTCTGCGTGACATTGACATCGATCTGATTGACAAGCACTACTTTCTGCTCATCCAGCTGCTCTGTCACCTGTGTGCAATGAGCTCATCTTGCTGTAACCCTTTCCTCTACGCCTGGCTGCATGACCGTTTTCGTGCTGAGCTTCGTAAAATGTTCACGTGTCACCGTCGCATCGGTATCTCAGCCAACAACTGCGCTACGGCCAGCGTGGTTTTGTAAAGCTCTTTTGTTCTGTGTTTAATTACAGTACATTTGAGAGGTGTACTGCCTGTCATCTAAGAATTCAGCTCTCAGTCATTATAAGCACACAGTTCTCAAACTCACCTGGTGGTGCATTGTCATTTGTTCTTTACCCCTTTAAAAACATCTATTTTCATGCTTTTTTGTTGTTGCTTGTTTCTCATGTCAAACAATGGCGAAGTTGGTTTTGCTTTTTCAGAACATTTGGACCTTCTTCCAACCATCTCAAATATTTTAATATTAATGTCACAAAACAAAATATATATATATATATAGTTTTATGATTTTTAATAGAGTGTTTAAAGATGAAAGAGATCAGAATGATCCACACTACAAATAAAGCACCCTTTATTTTCTGCTGGATTTTTCAGACACATTGCACTTCTTTAAACTACTGCACCAACTGTGTAGAATCCATCCATCCATCCATTTTCTTTACCCGTTTATTCCATTTTGGGAAAAAAAAAAAAACACAATTCATTTGAATTAGTACACTGATCATAAATAATAAGTCACAAATTGTATTTAATTAACCTTTATTTAACCAGGCAAATCCCATTGAGATCACAGATCTCTTTTGCAAGGGAGGCCTGGGCCTGAAGGCACACCAACATGCATGTTTTTGATCTGTGGGAGGAAATTGAAGCAAACACAAGAAGAACATGCAAACTCCACACAGAAAGACCCAGGTCCAACCCAGGATTGAACCCAGTACCTTCTTGCTGTGAGGCAACTGAGCCGTCGTCGTGCTGTCCTTATATACATTTCAAAAAATTTAAATGCACTAGCTGAAAAATAAAAAATACAGTTAAAGCACCTATAAAAAGTGGAGGGAATGAAAATGACATGTTTAAGTCATGTGACTGTATTACAATGATTACATTACCATATCAAATGGATAATGGAGTTGACAGTATGAGCACTCTACTGGTCCCATGTCAGAGAAGTTTGGGGTGAGATATAAGTGTTATTTTTAGATGGAACACTGTCAATCAGCATGCTGGATCCTCATCTGTGGCAAGCTGGCCTTCAAGATGTGGCAGACTGGACCTGGGCTGGAGCTGATATCCAAGCCAGTCCCACTTATGTTCCAATAATGGAGAGACTGAGGGATCTGGCTGGCCACAGACGGACCTCAACATGATGTGGGCAGTCCATGCACGCACATGCCCATGTGTGAATGAGCATCCTGTTGATAGACTGTACCAGGACACTGCTTTAGTATTTGTAAAACATGAAGATGCAGGATGTCTCTCACATCTCGTGCCATCAGGATTCACCAAACACCACCAGAGGATGTGAAGTCATATTCTACAGCTCCTCACACCATGACGGCAGGAGTAACACCAGTATGTCCATAACCACCACTCCACATGCATTCATCTTTACTCTGGTGTTTGACAGCCTACACATGGTGAACAGCTGATACTAGTGTTCAGTAAAACCTAGTGCACTATACGGCATTCCTCCTTTGTGTTGATCTGTCCCGGGGGACTGGGACTTTCATGTGTGCACAAGCCCTCAAGCACCAATTGGTTCTGAAGTTTTGGCCACTGTGACATCTGTATGCCTCACATGTGGGGATAATCTCATGCAAACCTCCCAGTGTGACTCCCAACCAGCTCCATCAAATGCTGATAATCATGTACAATGCATCCAGTGTCTGTTGACATTCACCCTCTGGTGCATGTCAGCTCCTTGTAAACAAGTTTTATACATACATCAAATAAAGTACCAAATTAAAACCAAGTTGGACCATTCCAAGTAGGAAATTAACTTTTTTTTTTCCAATGAGCGTACAAATTTTAAGATGCACTCAAAAATTCAAGCACAAGGCTGAATTACCCCCCTACAATACAACCAGTATGATCAGCAATTACAAAACAACAATGAAAAGCACTGTTAACATTTGATCTATCACTACATGAAGAATTACTGCAATGAGAAGAACATGTCAGAACGGTCCACTGTCCTTTTAGTCTTGTTCAGGCTTAAGTATCTGTATCAGAACTGTTCGTTTCAAGAGCAAAGAGTATAAATCCATTTCTCTAAGGTTTGAATTTCTTTTTGTTTTAATTAAAGCATTTTTTTTCTTTTATCAAAACACTAGACTTCATGAATTAATAAAGTACTGCAAAGTTCAGTCATACAGGTGGTTATTAAGCAGTGCTCATGGGAATATTTCATCATGTGAAATGGATTGCTATTTGTAAATGCTACAGTAGTTTTTCAAAATGTGGGCTACAATATTACAATGAATCCCGTGTTGGCTAAAAATAATCCTCATAAATATAGAACAGTGTAGGCGATGTGCAGCAAACATGAAACTTACATGAAACTGTAAAACGAGCAGCATTGCATAATTCTGTGGTTTGGTTAACAGTTTTGGACTAATTATGGTTACGAACCAGTCCTGTTACAGTGACATGACCACCGAGTGTTTTCTGTAGAGCTACAGAAATATTGTTTCTGCTTGCATCATATGGGTCCCAAGTTAAAATCAAAGTTCTAATTTACCTAAAAAAACATGGGTTTAGAATCAACTTTATACAAGAATTTAAACAAAGCTGATTACTTCACTCTGCTTTTACATCACTCTTTTATATGTTCATGATAAATGTTTTAAGATAAAAGAAGTTAATGAAATTCTCACAGCACTGGTTGATGAGTAGAATGGGTCATTTTCTACATAATTTATTTTTTATATGAAGTGGCATAAAAATGGAACTGCAAAAGTTGTGCACTACTAATAATAAGTTTTCAGGATATATCAACTTTATGGAAATAGGAAGTTGTTCTTAGGTTTTAACATACAAGTAGCAAAAGATTACTCTTAAAAAAAACTACTAATGAATTATAAACTGTGAAACTTCAAACTGTCTTCAATTAATTTTTTTTCACCAGGGACAGTTTTTGTTTTTCAGACAGAGAACTCAGTAAAAGTCCAGTTAAATCATTCCTTTTTTATCCCTTTAGTCCTTTAGAAACTAATATTTTCCAGCCCGCTCTGCACGGACGACACCACAGACAATTTATTCAGCATTGCTCAGCTCTCTATAGAGCCACAAAGGGCTTTTGATGTTTCATAAACATTAAAGTATTAGTTTCTGTTTTATTACAAATAATGTATTCATTTTCAGTTTTCTCCTGTATACAATACTTTCACAAACTCTTCAACAGCCAGTTCAACAGTTCTGCATTTCATTCTCAGATGAACCCACCTTTTCATTCACATCAAAATCTTTTTTTTTTTTTGGACCAAATGTTTCACAGCGCTGTACTTTTATGGGATTTTGATCAGCCCTACATGCAGATTTAACCAAAACAAAATTTCAGAAGAATTTACTGAAACCATTAAAATACATTTCTTCACCTGTATTGTTGTTTTGACCTGAAAATAGGCTGTTGTGTACAATAAGTCACGTCATGCGTGTTACCATGGATACACTTGCGTGTCTCCTTGTTGATCTGAAATGTATAGATATTCTAAGAGACAGTAATTTTTTTTTCCCCTTTCAGTATAAAACAAAAACTGCTGGATGTGAAAGAGCACGGACGTCTAATCGTGTTAGAAATATCAGTGCAGTCTTGTTTAGGTAACAAATGATGCAATTTCAGAGGATGTATGAAATAAAATTCTCTGAAAATAACGAAGATTTGCAAAGAACGATTTCTGCTAAAAACCATCTGCTGTAATAGTGACTTTATTTCAAATAAAAACAAAACAACTGAGAAAATAGACATTTTAAAGAAATTTACAGCCACAGCAGTGTCCGTGAAACACTGAATTATTTCCTCTGTACGTTCTTTGAGCTCTCAGCTCAAACAAATAGATGTATTAGACATCATATATTGCAAAAGGGGAGGAAAACAAATCATAAAAAGAGCAGAAAGGCACATTTCTGTACATACAGATGATAAATAATGCAAATATTTCAGAAGTGACACTTGTAAAAACATTTATCAGTGTGATGCGAACAAAAGCAAGGCTGGATTTTAGTGTTTTATCTATGATACAAATATCTATGTGATTAAAGTATTTCAATAAATTAAGGAATTCTTTATGATTATGTCCTCAGCTGTGTGTTATAGTACATGAAACATGACTGTGCACAGTACATGATGCAGTAGCTGCTTGGTTTGAGATGCTGCGGTGCTTTAAGGAGCAGCTCCCTGCAGCAGCAAGAGGCACAGTCTCTGTCAAAAGGCTGAATGGCCAAGTGATATTCCCTGTGGTGCTACAAAGAGAGGAATGTTGTTAACGGGCTGGTTAAAAAACACAAAGGATCAACAAAACAATTAAGGCTTCATGAGTGTAGTGATGAAAAGAAATCGTGAAACAGCTGAATAAGCATACAGTACATATGGGAGCAGGCAGCAATAAATTAAAAAAGAAACAAAGGTCGACATAAAGAGTAAAAAGACCAGTGTCAAATAATTTTACTCAAGTAATTAATTAAAAAATGTAATTCAGTTATGATATAAATCATACTTTAGTACCCTAGTGTCAAAACAAATACATTCATTTGCTTAAAGGTTTTTAAACTTATTATTTGTCGCTAAATTAGATACATTTTAATTGTCCCCTACTTTCAAACCTTTTTACCTCTGAAACTAAAAAAGTGCATAATGTTCCAACACATTCATCCCTTTGAGTCCAGTGTGAAATCAGTTACAAACACAAAAAATGGGATTAGGGCCTGAAGACGGGTTTCATTTGTCACACGGGCTTGGCAGCGTTGAGGGCGTGCAGGATGGAGGGCTGCTCCTCGATGACTCGGACCAGCAGGTTGTCGATGTACACCTCGAGCTCTTCGATCTTGGCGTTCTTCCTGGACAGGTCGGTCTGCTGTTTGACCACCAGCGTTATCAGCTCCTCTTGTGTCAGCTGACTGTAAGGACCGCTACCAGAGTCTCCCCCCTGACAGGAACAGAAACCTCAGTTATTTATTTGAAGCACATTTTGAACTGTTAGAGCTTTGTGGTTCAGGTTGGCAACAAAAACAAATTAATGCTTTTTCAAAAATACAAGGATAGATTTATAACCCTTTGATCCATTTTTTTTACAAGAATGTTTTTTTTAATTTCATATCATAATGTTCTCAAACATTTTTTGGATGAACTTTTGTGCCACCTGTATCGTTTAGAGAAAACTGAGTTTATTTCTTTAAGCAGCTGAGCCAAACTCAGTCTGCTGAGTAGAATTACATAAGTGGGGCTTTTGATAACATTTTGGAGGCGTTTAATTATTTAAAACACATCAAAGCAATTTAAACTAGAAAAATTACATTTCCTGCAAAAATTCAGTGTGAATGCTTACTGCTAATGAACTTGCTGAAAAAAGCTAAAATTAACTAAAATATGCTCAAATGTAGCTGAAAAGGAAGAATAAGCCTTAATTAGCAGAAAAATGCCAAAATAACCCATATTTGCTGAATTTGGTTTAAATAAGCAGAAATGAGCACAGACATTGCCTTTAAAAACTGAAATTAGAAAAAAATAGCTGAAAAGGTAGAAAGAGGCTTAAATTAGCAGAAGGAAGTGGAGAGAGCACAATTACAATTGTATTACAATTACAGCCCATTTAGGCTGAAAGAAGCAGAAAGTAGTACAAAAAGTGGAATTATCTGAAAAAAGCTGAAATTAGCACAAAAACAGCTGAAAATAGCTAAAATAGCAGAAATAAGCTGAAATTAGCAGAAGGAAGAGGAGAGAGCACATTTTTGCTGAATTAGGCTGAAAAAAGTTTTAATGAGTGCAAAAACTGTGAAACTGGCAGAAAAGGCTAAAATGAGCATAAAACAGCTAAATAATAGCTGAAATAACTGAAACTAGCATAACTAAGCTGAAAGGAACATGAGCTGAAATTAGCAAAAAGAAGTTAATTAGGCTGAAAGTAGCAGAAATGCCTACAAAAAAACTTGAATTTCTCTGAAAACAGCTGAAATTAGCTAAAAAAAATGCTAGTCATAGCAGGATTGTCCTGAACGAGCTGAACATCTGGATGTACGATTTATTGAAATAGGACAAAAATTGTGGAACGAGAAAGATGTCGAAAAACGTATAAAAGTAAAATGGATCACAATCGTGTGAATGCTTCATAAGCGTTCACATGATAATAACATTCACTCTGGAGTTACCAATGGGCATTTTGTGCTTAATTCCATTTACACTTAAACATCTGGGGCCTTAGAATAAAAGAGAGCCATTTATAAATCAGTACTGTGTGAAGAAAGCTGCAGGATGGAAAGAGACAGTTTATTCAAGTGAGAATTTCTTCCACTGTTGCTGTGAGATAATATTTTGAGTTTTAGTTTTTAATCAAGTCTGTAATTGGTGAAGACCGACTTACCTTAGTCTTTCCAGGTGTGGTGTCCCAAATCTTTATTTCTTTTACAGCAGGGCTGCTGGTGGGATGCTGGCTCTCTGAGTTCAGGGGCTTCACAGGATGAGGCCTGGAAAACAACAAATATTTAACAACTTTATACAGGTTAGCTCATGAAAGTTGGTTCGCTGTGGTGACCCCTGACAAAGGGAGCAGCCCAAAACATAAATACATTTAAAAAAACAGGTTATAAAACCATCACTCTTTTTTAATGTCAAAGAGCAAATACTGAATTTACAAAATAAAATTAAAGAGGTCATGTGATATTTGTGTATTCAGAATTTTGTCTGTATGTTGTTCGTGTTCTGTGTGTTTTTCCTCAAGGTTTATCATTAACCTGCAACACATTTGGTTAATTCCTGCCTTTACTGGATGCACTTCTAACAAAGCAGCATCTCCCACTGATCAGTCACATAATGTCCTGAAGGGATGGGAGCTAAAATAAAGCATTTTTTACTTGAAAAGAGCTAAACATCTTCCAACAGAAACCTCAAACAGAATTATGAACCTGTAATATTCACTCTTTAAACAGTGCCATGGTGTGTTTATTATAATCAAAGCTATTCCAAAGTGCAATTTCAAAATAAAAATGCAAAAGAAAAAAAGTTGCTAAAAGCCCAAGAAACCCACACACCCAAGATAAACACCATCAACCTATTTGTCACCAAATACAACACCATGATGAAAGCCCTTTGATCACTGGTGAATTAGGACGAAAAGATCGCAAGTGCAGACTTCGTAATAGCCAATTTAATCTCACCTGCGTGCATTCAAGGCTAGCCCACCTCCACTGCTATTCTGAGTACTGACAGGCTGAACTTCGGAGGGTGACACCCAAGCTCGCAACAGTGTTTTCGCGCCAGACCAGTTTTCTGCCTGAGACGCTGGTTCCTCCAGAACCACCGGGAGGGAGCCTGAGGGAGCCAGAGATGAAGGTGTATGAAAAGATTCAGCAGCGGTTGGATCCTCTCCTGCATACAAACCGACGTGTGTTTTCACATCGGTTCGTGGCTGCAGCGTGGCAGATACAGTACTTGCAGAAGAGGCTTGACTGGCCTCTTTAGATTCTGGCTCGTCTTGAGGAACCACAGTCTTATTTTCAGAGGGAGTTTTGGATGGAAGCATCTTCTTTCCTCTCTGTGAATTGTTTCTTTGAAAAGCAGGACTGAGCAGCTTTGAATCATCCTCTGTTTTTTTGTGGTCAGTTTTACTGGCATTCCAGGAATCTGCTGTTTTTTCTTGAGCTAAGTTGTTATCAGAATTGGTATGTTCAGGTTTCTGCTCCGTTTGTAGATTGCTGGTAAAAGTATCTGCTTCTTGGTTATGACTCAGCTGTGTCAATGAGTCTTTGGAAAGAAGGTCTGTACTTGTAAACTGATCAGGCTGAGCAGAGTTCTCCTGTTCCTTCTGGTCCTTATTGCTCACACTTGAACTGGACGGTGTCTGCACGCTGGTCTTCACAGCAGATTTCTCTTGCTTTTTTGGCTCGGTGCCGCCAACTCGTTGTCTGGGTTTGGCTATTGGTGCTTCTTTGTTCAGGCTGACTTGCGCCATCTTTTCTCCATCTCTTGACGTCCTGTTACTGGAGGCAGAATCTACAACTGTTTGAGGGACTGGGGAGGCAGCTGGTTTAGAGGGAGTTGGTAATAGTGCTTTTTTTGATGTTGCAGGTTTGGTCTTCTGATATTTCCTCATAGCAGCATAGTCATGAGATATAGACAACTTAGGATTTGGAGCAGCCTCTGCTGGGCCATCCACACTCATTTCAGGACCCATAAGCTCAGGAGGGTACTCTTTATGTTTCTGATTAACTTCAGCGATTAGGTTGTCCCACCGAATTTGCCCCTGCACTCCATGTCTCTTTTTGATGTAAAGTGTCTCATAATCGGGAAGAGGTAAAGAGGGTTTGTTTTCTTGCTGCGACCCATTTGCCTCTTCATACGTATGGTTTTGGATCTCTCTGACGGGACCTGGATTTCCTTTACTCTGGTTTCTTTTAATAGGATATGAAGGAGGTTTTCTCTTCTGATCTGCCATGATGGGTGAAGATCCTCCAGAATCCACCAATGACAAATTCTCAGTGCTGCTGTGAGAAGAACCTGACTGGCCCTGGTTTATGTCTGATGAAGCCAACGATAAAAGTAGATCGGAGAACGTTTCAGGGGACTCTGAAGGAGCACTTGAGTGGGTAGACTCAGTGTGAGCTGGGGAAGGACCGAACTGACTGGAACTTTGGCAGTCAGCAGGTTCGGACGACAAATTTTGAGCCAATCTGCCAAAAAGCAAAAACAAAAATCTAAAGGTCAGTGCGACCAAAGTCACTTTCAATGATATATAACCCGTCACCAATTAAAGTGAGGTTCCACGTGTCACCAAGTTGATATCACCTTTGATATATTCCTCATGCACAATCTCAACATGCTGTAGCCCTTACATAATGTTCAGTTAATGCTAAACCACTTCACTTGTGTAACAACAGCCTAAAGCTACAGCAAAAATATTTCAGCTACGCACAAAAATTATACACTGTTCTGTGATACAGACCAACAACTGGACAAAAGTGACATGTTTCTATTTTTAGCTGCTACTGAGAAATGACTTCACACTACCACAAGATCAACGTATTTAGAATACAATAGGCAAGCCAACAACACGCTAAAATATACAATAAATAGGACTTAAAATTACAAAAAAAGCGTGACTACCTTGGTTATTATCTGCAAGTTTAAATGTTTTTGAAAACAAAACAACTTCAACAGAAATAGTAACAAGAAAAACAATCTTACCATTATGATCAAACTACCGGTTCAGTACAATCCACTGGACAAGATGAAAAACTACTTGAAACCCTCAATCCAGACACCCTGGACATTGACACGGAGAGAAACACTGACTCTGTCTCTCCTTAGAAGCTCATTTCACACAACTTGTTTAACAAACTCTTTACCAACACCAGCCCAACCAGTCCAACGGGTCTGTCAACCATTAGATGGCGTTCTGACTTTGTGTAATTTAACAAAGCAAGTTTGAGCTGTTGTGACTAGAAACAGGACAAAAATTTGTGGAATTCCCAGTTTCAGGGCTTTAAGACATGAGACAGAACAAAATTTATAAAAATTAAAAACAATAATAAACAAGCATCAACTAATTATATAATTATATTTCTTACGAATAGGCTCTTTTGCAAAACAGTTCTGCATAAAGGCTGCAAAGAACGGTCAAGTCTTTAATCTGTCTCTAGATCCTTAAAAACATACGACAGAGCCGGTCTTTTACCACAGAGATGTGAACTTTGAGAAACAAAGCGAGCATCACAGTATCAAGGTGTGGCGCACAACACATTAAATGTGTGACATCTGCATTGTATTGTTTTCAAAACATGACAAAAATAACTCACCTTAGTGATACTCTTTTTGGTCAACCAATTTGTTAAACTAAATGCAAAGTTGACGTGCATTATCACCACTCCTCCCTCTGTAATAAATCCGTTTGTTGTTGTTTATTCCCATTGACCAGAGCCTCAAAGCTAGCTAACTTTTTCATGTCCATTGTTTCAGCTGTTACTAGAACCGCCTTTTTCCATCTGCGTCATATCACTAAAATTAGAAACATCTAAAAATGATGCAGAAAAACTGGCTCATTTGTCACGTCTAGACTGGACTAGAGCTGGGCGATATGGGCCACAATTTATATCTCTTTATTTTTAAGATAAATCGCGATAAACGATATAAACAGTGCCTTGCAAAAGTATTCGGCCCCCTTGAACTTTTCAACCTTTTGCCACATTTCAGGCTTCAAACATAAAAATATAAAATTTTAATTTTTTGTGAAGAATCAACAACAAGTGGGACACAATCGTGAAGTGGAATGAAATTTATTGGATGTGTCAAACTTTTTTAACAAATAAAAAACTGAAAAGTGGGGCGTGCAATATTATTCGGCCCTTTACTTTCAGTGCAGCAAACTCACTCCAGAAGTTCAGTGAGGATCTATGAATGATCCAATGTTGTCCCAAATGACTGATGATGATAAATAGAATCCACCTGTGTGTAATCAAGTCTCCGTATAAATGCACCTGCTCTGCGATAGTCTCAGGGTTCTGTTCAAAGTGCAGAGAGCATCATGAAGACCAAGGAACACACCAGGCAGGTCCGAGATACTGTTGTGGAGAAGTTTAAAGCCGGATTTGGATACAAAAATATTTCCCAAGCTTTAAGCATCCCAAGGAGCACTGTGCAAGCAATCATATTGAAATGGAAGGAGTATCAGACCACTGCAAATCTACCAAGACCCGGCCGTCCCTCTAAACTTTCATCTGGAACAAGGAGAAGACTGATGAGTGATGCAGCCGAGGCCCATGATCACTCTGGATGAACTGCAGAGATCTACAGCTGAGGTGGGAGAGTCTGTCCATAGGACAACAATCAGTCGTACACTGCACAAATCTGGCCTTTATGGAAGAGTGGCAAGAAGAAAGACATTTCTCAAAGATATCCATAAAAAGTGTTGTTTAAAGTTTGCCACAAGCACCTGGGAGACACAGCAAACATGTGGAAGAAGGTGCTCTGGTCACATGAAACCAAAATCCAACTGTTTGGCCACAATGCAAAACGATATGTTTGGCGTAAAAGCAACACAGCTCATCACCCTGAACACACCATCCCCACTGTCAAACATGGTGGTGGCAGCATCATGGTTTGGGCCTGCTTTTCATCAGCAGGGACAGGGAAGATGGTCAGAATTGATGGAAGATGGATGGGGCCAAATACAGGACCATTCTGGAAGAAAACCTGTTTGAGTCTGCAAAAGACCTGAGACTGGGACGGAGATTTATCTTCCAACAAGACAATGATCCAAAACATAAAGACACATCTACAATGGAATGGTTCACAAATAAACGTATCCAGGTGTTGGAATGACCAAGTCAAAGTCCAGACCTGAATCCAATCGAGAATCTGTGGAAAGAGCTGAAGACTGCTGTTCACAAACGCTCTCCGTCCAACCTCACTGAGCTCGAGCTGTTTTACAAAGAAGAATGGGCAGAACTTCAGTCTCTCCATGTGCAAAACTGATAGAGACAAACCCCAAGAGACTTGCAGCTGGAACTGCAGCAAAAGGCAGAGCTACAAAGTATTAACGCAAGGGGGCCGAATAATATTGCACTCCCCACTTTTCAGTTTTTTATTTGTTAAAAAAGTTTGACACATCCAATAAATTTCATCCCACTTCACGATTGTGTCCCACTCGTTGTTGATTCTTCACAAAAAATTAAAATTTTATATCTTTATGTTTGAAGCCTGAAATGTGGCAAAAGGTTGAAAAGTTCAAGGGGGCTGAATACTTTCACAAGGCACTGTATCTCAATATTTTTTCTTTCCATAAAGTAATAACAAAAATATATTTGAGTCAAAGTTTTGTCCCAGTTGTCACACAGCCACATTTATTAACAACAGCTGTAACTACAAAATAAATGCCTAAAAAATAAACTATTTGCATATATTACAAAAAGATGTGAAGTCCTCGACCTTGACCTCTCTAAGTGGCTTTAAGAATCTGTTGGACTCCTGGCAAGGACCAATGCAGACATGTTCCTGTTTTTAGTTTTCTACATTCGCCTTAGAATCTAGCTGTTTTTTGTTACTTTCTTTTAGCCATCTTATTTGTAAAAAAAATTTTTTTTTAAATCTGTATGCCTTTTTATAATAGTCTATTGTCGCTGTTGTCCATTGTTTTCATCATTCTTTGTTGAAATCAGGTCTCTCTTGTAAATGAGTCCTTGGGGCTCAATGGGATTTACCTGTCTAAACAAAGGTTTAATGAATATTAAATAATAATCATTTTCAGCTGGGGGCAGCTGTGGTTGAGAGGCTAGAGCAGTCGTCCTCCAATGGGAGAGTTGGGGGTTCGATTCCACCAGCAGTCACATGCTGAAGTGTCCCTGGGCAAGACACCAAACCCCTCATTGTCTCTGATGTGTCCCATCAGTGTATGAATGTGATAAAGCCCTGATTATTCTTTGTAGAGATCTAGTAGAGGGCATGAATGGGTAAGTTAATGCACAGATTGTGTAGTAAAATGCTTTGAGGCTCTTGATGATAGAAAGGCTCTATACAAGTACAGTCCATTCAGCTGCACCGCTTTCACGTTGGTAAACACGTGAACTGCGGTAGTGAGCCCCCACTTGGAACCTTGAAGCTGCAGTTCCGACAGACCTGACTCCCTCCTTGAAATAAACCACGGTTCAGAACTCATTTAGCCGTGCTGTGCCTTTTAGAGGAACATAGAGAGGTAGCGCGACATTAATAATCGGCAGTTTATCATATCGCTAAGACACGGTCCCGTCTCGACTGTGGAACAAGACGGCTAACGTGTTAGCCATCTTGTTAGCCGCTAAGGACTGTATCTTTAGCGATATGATAAACTGCTGATTTATTAATGTCACGCTACCTCTCCGTGTTCCTCTAAAAGGCACAGCACGGCTAAATGAGTTCTGAACCGTGGTTTATTTCAAGGAAGGAGTCAGGTCTGTCGGACCTGCAGCTTCACACACGCTCAGCTACTCATGTTTACTTCTGCTAAACGTCTCCTCTCCTATCCGCCCACCTCCTGGAGAAGCAGGAAGGTTGAGGAGGAGCGCGGCTGAGGGCTGTGTGTTTGTGTTCAAGGAGGGAGAAGGAGGGGGGCGAGTAGGAGAAAGAAGACAGCAGGAGGATTTCCAAGTATAAAAAATATATCGTTTTATATCGAGATAGTCTCCTTATATCGCAAAAAAAAATTATATTGATATTTTTAAAATATTGAGATATTGCCCAGCTCTAAACTGGACTATTGCAATGCTTTATTATGTGGGTGTCCAAATACTTCTTTCAAAAGTCTTCAGTTGATCCAAAATGCTGCTGCCAGAGTCTTAACTTGAGTTAGTAGGAGAGATCATATCTCTCCAGTTTTAGCTTCTCTCCATTGGCTCCCTGTCAAATACAGAATTGAATTCAAAATCTTACTTCTAGGCAGCACGGTGGCGCAACTGGTAGAGCTGCTGCCTCTCAGCGAGCAGGTCCTTGGTTCAAACCCTGGTCCAGGGGCCTTTCTGGGTGGAGTTTGCATGTTCTCTCCGTGCATGCGTGGGTTTTCTCCGGGTACTCCGGTTTCCTCCCACAGTCCAAAAACATGCATGTTAGGCTGATTGGTAACTCTAAATTGTCCCTAGGTGTGAGTGAGACAGTGAATGGTTGTTTGTCTCGTTTGTCTTTATGTGGCCCTGTGATGGACTTGCGACCCGTCCAGAGTGTACCCCGCCCCTCGCACAGTGATTGCTGGACATGGGCACCAGCGACCCCCGTGACCCAAAATGGAATAAGCGGGTAAAGATAATGGATGGATGGATGGATCTTACTTCTAACCTAGAAAGCTCTCAACAACCTAGCTCCATCTTATATTACAGATCTTATTGTTCCATATTTTCCTAACAGAGCACTTCACTCTCAGACTGTAGGCTTACTTGCAGTCCCTAGATTTTCCAAAAGCAGAATAGGAGGAAGATCTTTCAGTTATCAGGCTCCTCTGTTATGGAACCAACTCCCAGTTTCTGTCCATGAGGCTAACACATTGTCCAGTTTTAAGATTAAGCTTAAGACTTTCCTTTCTAATAAATCCTACAGTTATGGTTGGCTTGTTATTCTGCTCAGTGACATGTAGTCAGGGGAAGCAAATGAGGCAGTGTCTCTCCTGTCATCATGACAAGTAAAATACTAACAATGATAAGAGAAAATACATTTGACCACTAGACTGTTCTAGAAAACTGTTTTATAAAACTGTTTTCTGAAGTATTTCAACACTCAAGAGTCAAAATTGCAGAATTTACACATTGCATGTTCAAACAATGTGGAGTGAGGCAGTGTAGTGCTGTGCTTCACCTCTGGTGGCGCTGTGTTATATACTATATGAAGTAGGCGGTTGGTGCATGCACATTGCTGTCTCTTCATATCACCAATATACTGTACATGTTTGATTACACGTGCTACACATGCTGATGTTCTACAGTCTGTAATATATTGAATGAACGTGTGTGACATATTTCTTCTTTCCAATTGGTCATAATTGCATGGTCAAACTACACAGGGTGAGACAGAAAGTACCTTGCCACACCGATAGGGGGCAGTGCTGCCCCATGGGGACAATGACACGTCGTCGTGAATTCTTCTGTTGCAGAGGGGCGGGGGTGGAAGATCATATTTTAAAACTAAAGGATTTTTCCAAACGCATTCATATTAAAATAAAGATAAGATAATATGTTTTTTTTGTTTGTTTGTTTTATTTTAAAAGAGATGAGCAAGCAAAATTAGATGCTTAAAAAAAAAAAAAGAAAATAAAAAGGCTATAAGCTTGAAATATAAGCTTCTATTTTGGGTTTATATAATGTGAGCATCCGATTCCAGTACCTCACCTGTTGCAAAGCTCACCACACGTCACTGATGCTGCTATAGGCTTAGACTACTAGAGGACAAACTGACCTCAGTTCCTTAAATTAATTGTTAAAATTTAATAGTTTTCATTTGATACTATTTCCATCTTAACATGCGATTCTCGACCTGCCATTGTGTATCTGTTCCTACCAAACCCAGCCAGTTGAAGCAGATGGCCTCTTGTCCTGGTTCCACTAAAGGTTTCTTCCTCATAAAGGAGTTTTTCCTTTCCACTGTCGCCTTCATGCTTGCTCAAGATGAGAGTCTGTGATGGAGTTAAACTCAAAGCAGTCTGCTCCTCAGATAAATGATGTTAACTTATATTTTTATATATATGAATGTTTCTGTTCAGTGCCCTGTGATGACTTCTGTTATGGCTTGGCACTATATAAATAAACAGTACTGAATTGAATTACTGCCTTGCTCCACAGCACAAAGGCACATCAGGAGTGGGTTGGCTTCAACCCCGCTCGCCACTTCAGTTTATTTGGAAAGAACACGGAGGCGGCCAGAAGGGTTTTGGGAAAAGGCCTAATGTATGTCTCCGAACTGTGTGTTTGGCTTCATATTTGCAGTTAGTGTTAGGCAGTGCTTTAGGAAAATAAAATGTTAATATAAAAAAACAACAGTTTGGAAACTATTATAGACAGTTTTCACATTTCAGTTAAGCAAGACTTCAAAGGGCATAAGCCAATAAATACTGAAGGGATGTAAAACTGCTGATGTCATTTCATAATACTGGTGCAACACAAGATGTTTGGTGTAAACAGAGCCACAGTGAAGAAAACCAGACCTACCTGGGCTTGACTGCAGACACTTTAGTGGAGCGGTTGAGGAACATCATGGCAGAGGGGTTCTGTGGGTTGGGTTTTTGGTGATCAGGTGGACTTTGATTACCGACAGGTGGAAGATCTGAGCTGAGGGGAATATCTTCAAATGGGTTAGTGGAGTGACGGGAGGAAGGCTGATCATGACCTTTTGACACTGTGAGAGGGGCTGGGGTGGGAAGCTGCTCCTCTTTAGTTTGTGGCTGTACCTCCTCCTTCTTCTCCTCCTTCCCTCTGATCATCCCAAACAGAGAAGACAATCTATCACTCATGGAGGACTCCTCCTGACGTTTCTGCTCCTCAGCTCTTCGACGTTCCTCCTCAAGCCTCTGGTTTTCGGCTGCTTCTAGCATCCTGCGCTCCTCTTCTTGTTTTCTCTTTTCTTCTTCCTCCTCCTTCTGTTTCTTCTTTCTTGCTTCATCTTCTATGACTCTTCGTCTTCTCTCCTGTTCCTCTTGTTGTCTGATCTGCTCTTCCTCCTGCAGCCTCTTGGCCTCGGCCCGGTATTTCTCCTCTTCCTCCAGCCTTTTTGCCTCTGCGATGCGCTTCTCCTCAGCCAGCCTTCTCATCTCCTCCTCTTGATGGTGCTGTTGCTCCATTTCTTTATCTGATTCATGTCTATAAAATGGGGCAGATGAACTTTTGGTGGAATCTGCAAAGGGATCAGAAGTGTGTTTGCGGACATCCTCCATAGAGCCTTGGCCAGAGCTATTTAGACTGAGTGTAGATCCACTCTTAGCTTCTGCCTCCTCGGCGTAGACATGGTTGCCATTGATGCACAGGTTGTTGTGGTCACTGGTGGCCTGCTTGGAGCGGCCCAGTAAGGAGAAAGCACCCAGAGACACCTTGCTGTCAGAGCTGCCAGTTCGCTTGTGTCCCAGTAATTTGAATTTCTTTTTTCCTGTAAGAGGAGAGTCAGAAGCATGATGTCATTGTTCAGATGCAAAATACCACTATTTAACTTGCAGTGTGCGTGAGACAAACCAGAAATGTCAACAAACACTGCCGACAGTGCAGAAAGGTTAATTTACCTTCAGGAGAATCAACATTGAGGCCAGAGGAGCGGCTGCTGCTGAGAGATGAATTCTTTTCAGGCAGTGACCCAAGTGTAGACATCGACTGCGAGATGTTCCGATGCAAGTTTGATTTAGGGCCAAAGAGGGTTTTGATTTTAGATTTCTTCTTTCCTTGTGGAGACTGACTGAGTGACTGTGTCTCAGCTTCTCCCTCGCTGTCAGTGAGGACCTGGTTCACAGAGGGAACGATAGCCGAAGCAGAGTCGGACAAGCCGTTCTTTTTCTTTCCACGGACTTTGTCCTTCAGTTTCGAGATGCCAGAGCGAGGTTTGTCCTGCGCAGAAATGTCAAACATGCTGGCGGACATGTTGTTTCTCTTAAACTGGATATCTAACAGCACTTCTCCTCGCACCTTGTCCTCCTTTTTATCCTTGTTCACCAGCCTGAACCAGCTGGAAAAAAATAAAATTATAAATTAGATGAAAGTGATCAACTTTGAAATTAATGTCAGGCATTCTTTTAGGATATTATATGTATATTATTACATGGCAACAGAAAGCAAATTTGTACAGTATCTGGCACAGTAATAGTATATCCTAAAGTAATTTATACTAATGGACAACTTGAAAGGACAAGAAAAAAAATAATAATAATCCGAGACATTGATTTGTCCTCTGTGAATTACCTTTTGATTCAAGTGCAGTTTTTATTTTATAAGACATAGTTTGTTTTGACAGGAATTAAGGAAAAACCAACAACAACATAATTCCTAAAACAAAGCTTTTAACAAGCATAACTGATTCAGCTTTTTTTCTTTTTTTTTTTTTTTTGGGGGGGGGGGGGGGGGGGGACTGATTAGGACTGGGTACTGCTAAAAAGCCAATCCTATTTCTGAAGAACTAAAAATGCTAATTTTGCTCATTACTGAGAAAAATGTAAAAAAAAAAAAAAAGGAAGCTTTTGTTCTTCTGCTGAAAAAGTAATGAGTTTTTCCCCCTCTAGTCATTATCTAAGCACATTTTTAAATGCTGCTGCCAGAGGCTTTACTGGAGATATCTCTCTCCAGTTTTAGCTTCTCTCCACTGGCTCCCTGTCAAATCCAGAATTGAATTCAAAATCTTACTTCTAGCCTACAAAGCCCTCAACAACCTAGCTCCATCTTATATTTGAGATCTTATTGTTCCATATTTTCCCAACAGAGCACTTCACTCTCAGACTGCAGGTTTACTTGTAGTTCCTAGAGTTTCCAAAAGCAGAATGGGAGGAAGCTCTCAGTTATCAGGCTCTTCAAGATGGCCGCTTGTCCTGAGCCTGGTTCTGCTAAAGGTTTCTTCCTCACGAGGGAGTTTTTCCTTTCCACTGTCGCCTTTTCATGCTTGCTCAAGATGAGTTTTGCGATGGAGTTAAATTCAAAGCAGTCTGCTCCTCAGATAAAAAATGTTAACTTGTTTTTTATTTATGAATGTTTCTGGTGGTGGCGGGAATGCTTGCGTGGGTGTTTGGATTCAGGTGCTTTGACAGATGCACGCTAGGTTGGGTAGTGGTGGAAGCTAGATGATTCCTTGTGCCATGTCGAATGTTTCATGGTGATATTGTGGGTGGCATTGTGCTGTGCATGTTGTTTTGTCGTGATGGTCTCTCGTTTTATCCATTTCTCTTTTATTTATTTTTTTCTTCTTCTTTCTTCTCTTTCTTTAAAAAAATAAATAAAAAAAATTGAGCGATGATGATAAGTTCATTGAAACACTTCACAATGTTTCTACACTTAAACTGAGCTAAAAAAA